TGAAAAATTATAGAATCATTTGCTTAATTTCAGTTGTTAGTTTATTTTCGATCAACTTAGGTTGCTTAGGAAATCAAAGCCCGTGCTGGTGGTACAAAAAATTCGAGTACTCGAATTTTTTGTACCACCAGCACGGGCTTTGATTTCCTAAGCAACCTAAGTTGATCGAAAATAAACTAACAACTGAAATTAAGCAAATGATTCTATAATTTTTCATAGCACTATATCGTCAAGGTTACTTTGAAATAAGTGTTTTTTGCTTCAAAAAGATTGATAAGAAAAAATAAGTAACTTAAATCAAAATTGCTTATTATATGTAAGCTAGCGTTGTTCATCTTTAATTTTAAAAAAACATAGTTTCTTACAGATAAATATGAATTGAGTACGATGAATCGCTAAAGCGTCGTGCAAGCTGGAAGGAAATTTTATCAGTTTGGTATGGCATAATACAAATAATGTACTTTTCATTACTTGAATGAAAACAAAATCTCTTCTGTATATGGCTGACATTTCTTCTACTCTTTTTTACACTAGAATATATCAAATATCTCTTTTGTTCCAGTTGGCTGATAGTTTATTTATTTTTCATCGCTAAGATAAGATTAAAAGAAGGAAGAGCTTAAGAACATCAATAATAATTGTGATGGCAAAGTTTCTCCCTACTAGAACAAAACAGAAGAGCACCAATCTATTTGATTAGAAGAAAACAGAGAGAGAGAGAGAGAGAGAGAGATAAAAGAAAAATAATGCCAAGTATGTGAAACATCGTCATATAATTGCATTTTGACAGGCGGATTATATATATATATATATATACACGAGCGCGCACACAAACAAATATTTGTATATTATAGGTATTAATGGAACTAAAACATGTGTATATGAAACAGTTACAATTGCATGTTATTTTAAAAAAAGACAGGAAATATCTCTTCATGGACGTAAAAATTCATGTATTTTACTCATCTCAATTTGTAATGCGAATCTGACTCGATAGAAGAAAAAGAGCAAGAAACACTGTTTGTTCGATACTAATTGACTGCTTATAAAGGTCGTACGTATGTAGAAGGGAAAAGGCCAATATTACCACGAACTTCACCTAAATATCAAAACAAAAACCATGAATAAAGCAAAATTTTTAAAAATGCATTTAAAAATTAACCTTTCCACCAATGAATATCACTTTGGTCCAACATTCGAATACGATCACCACGTTTCAATTCAATTTCACCTTCCTCTTTCGGTTGAAAATCATAAGCAGCTTCGTACATTCCACCATTCTCCGATGGACTAACAGGTGAAACTGGTGGTTGCTGTTGAGATGCCATCCACGGATTAGTTTGTGGTTGACTTCTATCATTCTAGAAAATAATTCAAATTTTTATTTTTATCGAAATTATTTATATTTATTTTTCACTACATAGTATGATGTTTGTTCTGTATGCGTTGATGAAATCATGTCTCGCAGTAATAGGCACCGTTCACGACTAACTGTTGTTGTACGATGATGTTCAATTAATTCATTGATTGAATCGAATTTTATATCCCATAAAGAATATTCACCCCTACCATTATGTAAAATTTTAAAATGTTGAACGTGATCTTGATATCTAAATAATTTAATGCTTAAAAATGCAACAAAATAAAATATTTATACATACTTGACAGACAGAGAAAAATCCCCAGGAGATGATTCACACATTCGCACAAGAAAGGCACCATCAGGTTGACTGCTGCCACGAGCATTACCATTCTGTTTAAGAAGTATTTTTTCAGCTTCAGCACGAGAAATTTCACCATAGAACCAACTAAAATGAGACAATCGATAAATATAGTATCATAATTGTGTATTACATTTATTGAAACTATTAAAGAGTTATTCATTTTTGTTTCTAAGGTATAATTTTATCAAGTTTTTAATTAGCTAAAGTCAAAATTTTTATGTGAAAAAAATTTACTTACGGATGTGGATTTATTTCTATATAATTTCTTGGTACATATCCTTTTTTTCCTTTTAATTCTGCTTTACACCAATTCAAATCGTCATCAGTATTGAGTATCTATTCACGAAGAAGAAATATAAACACATATATATATATATCTAGATCTATATTAAAAAAGAAAATTTCAATGAAAAAACTATACTTTAAGCACAGCTCCTTTTGAAAAACTAAGTTCATCGTCGGCAGTTGCATTAAAATCATAACAACCATAAGCTTGCATATTGCTTTCTTTTTTTGTTCTCAAATGGCAAATTTAAGAGAACATACAAAAATAAAATAGATATCTTGAAAGAGAAAGAAAAAGTAAGCATCAATAGCAGAAACGAAGGACAAAATATTTTCTTTGTTTTTTCTTTTCTTTTAATTTATTCTTGTTTATCAAAATATTCTTTTGATTTAACTGGATCAGGTTTAATCGTATGAGGATTCGTTTTTTCGTTCCAATCCGCAGGACATACTTCACCGTATTGTTCAACATATTGCAAAGCTTTTATAAGGCGCAGAGTTTCATCAACGGAGCGACCCACTGGTAAATCATTTATTGTTATTTGCCGCAATATGTGTTCTTTATCAATAATAAATAAACCCCGAAGGGCAATACCACCGTTATCATCAATTAAAATACCATAACGTCGTGTAATTTCTTTGGAAAAATCACTTAATAATGGATATTTAAGACCACCGAGACCTCCTTTTTTTCTTGGCGTATTTATCCAAGCTAGAAAAATAAAATAATAAATAATCGAAATAAATTTTCATTCGGTTTTATAATTTACCAAGATGACTATGTACTGAATCAGTACTACAACCAATAACTTGTGTATTAAGATTACGAAATTCATCAATACGGTCATTAAACGCAACAAGTTCCGTAGGGCAAACAAATGTGAAATCTAACGGATAGAAAAATAATACAACATATTTGCCTTTATAATCCGATAATTGTATATCTTTGAAGTGTCCTTTAATGACTGCTTGGCCTTTGAATTCAGGTGCTGGTTTTGCTATCGCCGGAAATGAACTATGATATGTTGTCATGCGTGCGACAACATTTTGAAATGGATAAGATGGTGTCTTGATTGTAAATGATGTTAGTTGACGAAGGAATTGCCGATACATAGTAAATTTCTCTTGCTTGGTCTTATCTCAATCTAGAAATGTAAAAAGACACGTGTAAAGAACATTGAACTTTAATTGAATATTAAACGTTTGAATGAACCAATTGACCTGACATATAGTAAAAGATAGTAAAATTCGTCGAAACAAAAAGAGCCATATTTAGATTCGTTCGCTTTTGACACAAGATCAAGATAAATGTATGCATACTTTAGTATTTGATGTTTTTGTTTTCTCTAATGCAGCGACCATATATTTTAGATAGAGGTCATCCCAAAGATTTTAATTGGACAGTATAGTTTCGTATTGTTTATTTGCAGTTGTGCAGTAGAACTTTTTCTTTCTTTTTTGGACGAAAAAAATCTATTAGAACAAAACAAAAAAAAATGAAATATCTAATATTTTATGGTTCGTTTGTTATACTTGCTTTTTATGCTGTATCAGGTAAGCAATAGAAAATTTCATTTTGCCATCGATTGATTGTTGATAATAAAATTCTTTTTAGTTTTGTCAATCAAATGTTATGTGTGTAAAGAACCCGATAGAAAATGTCGTGATCCGTTTCAAAATGATACTATTTTCCTGAAAGATTGTTCCACAATCGGCATGGGTAATGCTACAATGTGTCGTAAGTATATGTGGGAAAGTAAGTAGAAATAGTTTTTCTTTTTACTTGAGATCTTGGCATGTTTTTTTCTCGCTTTAAGTTGGTGATGGTACACGATATTATATGCGTGGGTGTGCTGTACATGGTCGTGTTAGTCGAAAGCAGGGTCGCGATTGTATTGAACGACTTGGTATGTATTTTAGACAATAATGAAAAAAAATTCTTAGATAAACATATATTTATGTGTAAACAAAATAATGTGCTGTTGACATTTTGTCATTCATACAAACGTTTTGATCATTAGTAAACTAATGTCTATTTTCTTTTTTGTTTAGGTACATGGAAAACAAAAATGTGGTATTGTCAATGTGATAATAAAGATGGATGTAATGGAAGTACAAATATAAGAGTTTCGTCTCTAACAATTCTGTTTGGTATTATAATCTTTTTCTATTCGCAATCAATACAAACTATTCAATAGCAGGTCTTTTTTTTAAAGATCTATTGTATATAGTAGTCAATCTTAATACTATTCAACATTCTATTCAAATATTTTGAATGTCTTTCTTTTATACTATGAATTTTATATAGTTAATACGTAGTTGTTTTTGCACGACTGTTTTTTTTTCAATTTTCTTTTTGTATTCTTACGTTGAAAATGTTTTAGCAGAATGACGTAGTTTTTCTTGTGTACATTCCATATATGTTTGTTTGATAATTTGACTTATTTGTGCAAATATGAGTGCTATCATTGTTTTTTCTTCTGCTCTAATGATAGAGTTCAATTTTATAATCAAATAATTTTACTCAAAAATCAGTAAATATTATTGATTGCTCAATAAATGATTAGATCTGAAATTAAACAATTTCTAATATTGATTCTGATTATACAGTTTAGAAACAAGTAAGAAATCAACAATAGTTAAATTGCAAATCTATACAAATTCTTTCCTGGATATTTGGAAAACTACAAAATATAATGAAATTAAATATACAATTAATGCAATTATAATTAGAAATCTTTATTAGTTAACATTTGTGTTCAAGTATATGGGCGAAATAAAATCATGACAATGTATATTTCATTGCTGTCCATATGCGACATCTGTAACAAACATACTCATTTGACATAATATATTTATTTACTTATAAATGAGAGACTATACCTTCTTATACTAAGAGTAATCGAGAATCGTTTGAAAAAGTGACACGTCATAGTCAAAAGAAATTTATCTCGCCAAATTACTTAAAATAAAATGGAACCGTGGTATTCAGGTGCTGTTGTCGATGCTGTACGTGAAGCTAAATCCCGTCGAGCTTTATTCATTGTTTATATTCATGATGATTCTGAACAATCTCAATTTGTTGACAATCTCTGGATTGAAGTATGGACGAAACTAACTAATCTATCACAAGTAGTTGCACTTCGTCTTACAAAAGATACTGAAGCTTGTAAACAATTTCAAGCTATTTATAAAATTCAAACATATCCAACAATTTATTTGATTAATGGTCAAAATGGACAAGTATTAAAAATGATTGATGAACCACTGGAAGATTCGAATCGATTAGAAGAAATACTCGAACGATCTATGAATATAATCGAATCTAAACAACAAGATACACCAGTAGTAGCAGCTACAATAGTAACAAATGAATCGAATAGAACAGTTGAAGAAAAAGTAATTAATTTAATAAAAGAAATTAGATTTATTTTTAATTATTATTAATAGATAGCAGAAGCTCGTGCACGTCTTAAAATAATACAAGATAAACGTGATGAAGAAGCAAAAGCAAAAGAAAAGCAAGAAGAAGTGGAACGTCGCCGTCTTGGACAACAAATGCTGTTGGATAAACAGAAAAAAGATGAAGAATTAATACGAAAACAAGCTGAAGAAATTCGACGAGATAAAGTCGAACAACAAAAATTACAAGAAAAACTCAAAGCCCAAATTCAACAGGATCGAGAAGACAAACGGCGTAGATATGAAAACGAACAATCAGCAGCTGCTCAACAAACAAAACCAAAAGTGACAACAACACAAGTGCAAGGTCCAAAAATCAATTATGATCGTTCACGTTTACAATTTCGTTTAACAGATGGATCATTTTTTACTGAAGATTTTTCACCAGATGCTCGCATGAATGAAGTGTATGCATATTTACAAGAAACACTTCCTACTGATCAGTATAGAAACGGTTCATATGTACTTCGTACAACACATACACGTACTACGTTAGCAAGAGATAATCCAAGTTCATTAAAAGACCTTGACCTTATTCCATCGGCTGTTTTACTTGTTGTTAATCGTGGAAATGGAAATACTAGTTATTCGTCGACTAGTGTGGCTACAAATAATATTTTTCAATCGTTTCAACTAATGTTTGCTTGGTTTATAATGCAATTTAATTTCATTTATCAATTAATTTTTTCCAAATTATTTGGACATCGCACTCAAACAGCAGCAACACCACCGAGAGAACAAATTAGGCCATCGACGAGAAAAAATAATACGAATGAACAAAGAGCAACAACACCAAAAGCCGCAAAGGAAAATTTCAAAGTAGATTCAACTGAAAAAACGACTATTCGTCGTTTTCATAATACGCAAGATGATAGCGACGATGAAGAAAAACGTACATGGAATGGAAATTCTACACAACAAATGTAACTGTTTTATTTTATTCTCTTTATATAATAAATATATGTATTGTTGTTGCTTCGAACCTAAAATAAGAAAATTCGACTATGTCAGCTGATATTATCGATGCCAAAGGTATCCTATTATACCATGGCTGTATCTTAGAACAGAATTAGAGAGAAAATCTTGATCATTTATTTAGATCTATTTGCTCTAAGCTTTTTTTCGAGTCAAAAGTGCCAAGTTGTAATATGAAAATTCTGTTCTTTTAAAATCTTCTCGAGGGAGGAATGTGACATTCATTAGAAAAATGCTGAGTCCCAGGTCGTTCATTCCTACAACTAGATCCAATCGGATCTGAAAACGGGTTACCTGGAATCTTGTATGAAAACCCACTAGAATCGACGGAATCCGATACATATCCGGTTGTATCCTACTCTGCGATCCGATACGCCAAAAACTCTGCTATAGTCAACCTCTAAAAGCTTTTTTGCACTAAATAGAATTTTGATAATTTTTTAAAATTCTCCCGTCGGATCCGTCAATAATTCCGAAACCCATAATCTAATTGAATTTCCCCGGTTAGTAAAATGTTATAGGATCCGATAGAATTCGTTGTCGGATTAGTCGACCTGGGCGTTAACAACACCCACAATTTAGTCTCTCGAGAAACAACAGTTGGCTATACAATTGAGTATGAAAACTACATTATTTTATCAATGAAGAATCATTGTCAAACGGCAAACATATGGATAGTTAATTTTTAATTTTTCCAAAGAATTATTATTGTAGATCGATTTATCGCTCTCTTAAATTTTTACGAAGTTATATTTTCAGTTCTTTAACAGAATCTTTCAAGATTCTTCTTTTTAGTGTATAGTAAATGATTGATCTGTGGACTTTCGCCCTAAACTGTTTCTATCGATATGAAGAAATTGATGATTGTATTAATATTCAAGACAACAAATTTATACATGCATGAAAAAGAAACAATGATTCAACTATTTTAAATTATTTTACAAAAATTAAGTTGATTTCGTATACGTTTATTAGTCTTTTTATTGGGTCTTTCAGTATCTTTTTTCAATTGAACAAGTTTTTGTTGTTGATCTATAAGATTCTGTAAACGAGCCAATTCAACAATCGATAAACTTTGATTTGTTCGTCGTAGAGAATCTTCTTGAAGTAATTTTAAAATTTGATGTGACTCAGCTGTTGTTAGATATTTATAAAAATTGATTAAACTTGGTCCATTATAGTCCGACAAAAGATGAGACATTTGTGTAAGATTATGATCAATTAACCAATCTCGAACGTCAGTCTGAGTCCAGTCAAGAATATTTTCTGAAAGTACTGGAAATATTGATCGTCGTCGAGTTATTGACAAACTGGAATTCATTATACTTGTATCTTCTCTAGATTCAACCCGTAAAACATTATCATCATGTACAACAGGAGCTTTTAACTCTCGAATTAACATTTCCATGGCTTGTAAAAATTCATATTTCGTATAATCTACATAAATTAATTGACCAACAAGAAATAGTAGCCAACCATCGGGTTGATAATGTTCTTGAAGAAGAATTGGAACGATTCGAGCTCGACGTTGAAATGCATAAGTTGCTTCGGCTCGACAATAATTACTTCTTCGATATTGTTCACTCATACAAATAATAATTGCATTCGATTGTTCAATAGCTTGTGCCATTGCATCCATTACATTTCCATGTATTTGATCAAAATCAATCCATACACGATAGCCAGTTTTAATCAATTCATCATATAATTTTTTACAGAATACTTTATCTTTATGAGAATAACTAATCATAATATCGAACATAGTTTCATCAGCTTTATCCGTTGCATCACGATATTCATACATAGATTTTAAATTCCACAATATTCCATAAGTAATTTTCCCCATGGGTTCATGATGTAATTCTTGTTTTAAATGATTTAATCTGAGCATTAACGTTTGATTAGATCGAAGTTGTTGTTGAATATCATGATGGAACGAGAGTGCCCATAGAATATCGTATACTATTGGATATTGATCACACATTTCGATTAGCAGTGAAACTTTATTTGTCCCAGCAATTTTCTGTTGTATTGCATCATTTTTCGCTAAGCTTAGAAATCCTAAAAAAAAAGATTAGATCATGTTGATAAGTCACTTTTTACAAAAATAGATAAATCAATTGATTTTTTCTGATAAATTTTACTTACCTCGTAGCAATTGTGAAACTAATATTTGCTGAGATTTTTGTTTCGGATGATTCCAAGCTTGTTCAAGCATGTAGAAGAAATATTCACAAAGATTATTCGTTATTTTAACTTCTTTTAAATGTTCATCACATAATATTTCACCTAGTAATCCATAGGTACATGAACTAATACGATTATTTTTCACTGTTTCAGCTAATGGTAAAAGTATTTCTAATAGATTAGTTTCAAAACGTAAGAAAGCAAGTGTATCATGTGTATGTAATGAAGCTAATAGAAAGGTCAGAATAACATCGATGAGAATTGTTTCATCATTGGATCGTTGAATTTGAAGTTTTTCATGAAATGGTTTATAACTAATTATACGTATCAATGAACTGATATATTCATGAGAGATTTGTTCGGTTGGTAATAGAATTTCAATATTCTTAGCTTTATCATCATCCCAACTGCAACATGCACAAATAAAACTCATTATATGTGTAATACAAGAAAGTAATTCTTTGGTCCATGATTGAACACTAAAACTGTTCAGATAAATTATATTTAAATAATCTTTTTCAAAATAACGAAGAATTTCATCGCCAGTAAAAGGAAATTTTTGGTTCTTACAAAAACAATAAGCATTTATTGATAATGAACATGTTTTCAAATAGAATAATTGTTTACTCGTAAACGTCGATTGTAATATGTCTGACTTCAGTAACTGATTAAAATAAAATTTATATTGATCAGTCATAATGAATTTACGTGCAATAGAATTATCGATATCGGTAATAATTGATGACATTATGTATTGTGTGTGTTCATGAATAAAATATGAAAGATTATCCAACCAAAGACTAATCAAATCAAAATATGGATCATTGTCATCGTTGATATCTTGAATTTTTGCGAAAATACCATCGATTAAATCGATTGATTCAGGAAAAAGGAGTGAAGCTTTTTTATCCGAATCTATTTCATCGGAATTAAAAATCAAATTTTTATTAAATGTACCAAGATTATGAAATAATTTGATGCATTTCGATTGATTTAATAATTCATTAGAATTTCCACTTAATATTTTCCAAGCCCAATGTTCGAGTGTGCACAACGAATGAAAATTTTCAGAGGTGAATTTATATAAAAATTGAATATCTAATTCTTGAAGACGATTTGTTATCATGGAACAGAGATTATCGGATAATTTTGTGTTCGTTGTTGTTGATGATGTTGTCAATGTAATTACAAGGCCTTCTATATTTTCCTCCATTCTTATTGACTAACACATTGTATTGTATATAACGAGACGTTTTGGTGGATTATACAGTTTGTATACAAGGTTGTCCGTTATTCGAAGATGTCTTTTTCTCGTTCTCTTAAGTATGGCGGAAAATGTTTACGTCGTAAATAATGGTGAATTAATACAATAGGTTTGATCTATTTTTATTTTGTCAGTCGACATGAGTCATTGCTCGTATGCATACTTATATCCTATCTTATAGCTTGTAAACGATTGAAAATGGCGACAATTATTACCTTGAGAATGTTTGTTTATTTAATGGATTCTATTACGATGAGATACGATATCTATGAAGATTGTGTTGTACGATTCAGCATAGAATACGATTGTTTGACAATAGTGGACAATCTATAGAGGAAAAATTTCCATGGTCAAATTGGTCAACTCTAAAAAGTATCAGATATGAGGCTCCTTTTTTGACATGATTTGTTGAAGTTGAAATAAAACTTACATCCGTTTGTTTTAGTTACTGTAAATATTTGATCAGAGTTTTCAATTTTGCGATTAGATTCTGTTGAGATTGAGACTAATTCCACAGAGTCGCTTATGACATTCTAGAAGCTGATTTTGATACTAATGAGTATCAAGTTCTCGAGAAAAGCTACACTTTTTTTCATACTTTTCCTTCATTACTTTTCTCGCTAGTCGAGTACTATATATAGTAGGAGTGTGACAGTTCAGTTTTAGTTCTTATCAAAAGAACTGTTCAGGCAGTTCCTTAGATCTGTTCAGGCAGTTCCTTAGATCTGTTCAAACAGTTCTCATGATCTAATCAGAACTTAGATCTGAGAACTGTTACATCCGTATACTATAGATGTAAAGATTTATTCTTTTGTGTTTTATATGCTAATTAAGAAATGTATTCAAGTTTAAATCATCATGCTCATTGCCATCTATTTAATTAATAGTCTATCATAACGTAACTATCTCGAATCGGCGCTCCTATTATTTCTGATAGGGTATGAAAATTTTTATAACGGTTCAAAACGTAGTTTCCGACTATCAACATAATCATTCTAAGCAGTTGTTCTCGGAATCAAAGAAAAATATTTAGATTTATTACCTTAGAAGAATGAATAGTAAAAATCCATGTTGTAAATATTTGAATAAAATAATTTGCATCAAGATTATAATACATACACGATCACATATATTAATATATACGATAAAAATTTCCCCATATTATTAAATGCAATCTCTCCTAAGGGGATAGATTGATTGAAAATTACTAAAATTTTTCTAATCAATTAGGTATTTCTCCGCAATGCATGAATTCATTATAATCGAGAAAAAGAAATTGATCGTCTTTAAGTAAATAATACTGAAGTTTTTGTACGCATGACCATAAAAGTTCGATGCAAAACTTGTCGTTTACAACGTGATTTTAGTGCAATAATTGATGCATAATGTTGGCTACAGCAGTATTTTATAAATATCGAATGAGTAACTGATATCTGATGAGTAAACGACAGTGCTCATCTCAGTATAGCATTAAAAAAGTTGCTGCAAGTACTAATCATTAGTTGATTTCACAAGTATATGCATGTGCAACAGTTTCAATTAAATAGTTGAACACTTAAGAATTTCCTTTTTGTTTTTCAGTGAATAAAATTAGTGACTTGAGTCAAGTTTATTGCCAGAAAATAAAGAAAATGAACACATAACATGTTTCCGCTCTTCGAATTTCTATGAAATTTTATCAAAATTGCATTACTTAGTCATATAAACAGAATTTCCACCGTATACGTGCTTAACTATGATCAACAGAGATAAGTTGACATGATTTTGAACCACGCGAGAACGACCAGTTACTCCTAACCCGTATGGTGTCACTTACCAATCATAACTTATTTTTTGTTTGATCAATTTTTCAGATGAACTAGAACTTTCTTTTAATATCCACATGTAATATGTCGACACGTGTAACGTTTGAAATTAGCTGCAAGCTTGTTTTACTAGTTTATTGAATTAAACTTCAATTCATAGATATAGACTTATGATGAATGTTTCAAAGAATTAAAGTATGTGACAGCAAGCAAAGGATTTTATTTGTAATTTACCACGTTTTGATTTTGACGATTTAGGAATCGTGCCAGATTCCAAACATACTTTTTGTTGATTCAAAGGCGATCGAAAATATGTGAATTCAACTAATGATAAACTTTGACTTGTTCGTCGAAGAGAGTCCTCTTGCAATAAAGATATAACCTGTTGAAGTTGAAGATTTTCTAGCATTTCAGACATATACATAAGGCTTTGACCATCACAATTAGCAAATAGACGAGACATTTGCAGCAAGCTATTACTAATCAACCAATTCTGCACGTGAGTTTGAGTCCAATTGAGAATATCTTTTGGAAGTACTAACGATGGCGACGGTTCTGGAGACATGGTTACGAAAGAATTTATTTCATTAACTTCTTCATCTGAAGTAACACTTAAAACACGTATTTCACTGATATCTGGTGCTTTTAATTCTTTGATTAATATTTCTATGGCTTGTGAAAATTCACATCTAGTAAAATCTACAAAAATGAATTGACTAACTATAAACAATAACCAACCGTCGGGATGATAATGTTCTTGAAGAAGAATCGGAACAATTCTAGTGCCACGTTGAAATGCATAATTTGCTTCAGCTCGACAATAATTACTTTTTCGATATTCTTCGCTCATGCATATAATAATTGTATTTGATTGTTCGATAGCTTGTGCCATGGCGTCCATTACATTCCCATGCATTTGATCAAAATCAATCCATACACGCCAACCAACATCGACAAGTTGTTCATAGATTCGTCTACAAATGATTTCATCTTTATGCGAGTAACTAATCATAATATCAAAATTTTCTTTATTATCAATCAATGACAATTGACGATCTGTATGATTTGTATCTAAATTCCATAATAGGCCATAGGTTATTTTTCGTATTTGTTGATCATCGCAGACTTTTGGTAGATAAACTAATTTAGCCATAAATGATGCATTTGAACGGAGTTGTTGTTGAATATCATGATTGAATGAAAGTGCCCATAAAATATCGTATACAATTGAATATTGATCACACATATCAATTAACAATGATACTTTATTGGTATCAGCTGTTTTCTGTTGAATAGCATCGATTTTCGATAAGTTGACAAAAGCTAGAAAAATTTCATATGATAGATGTGTGAGTATTAACAATTTGTGACTTACCGTTCAATAGAAACATGATTGGTATTTGTTTATATTTTTTCGATGGATTTCGCCATGCTTGTTCAAGAATTTCAAAGAAAAAAAGACTTGCACTATCGGAAATTTTTAATGTTTTCAAACTTCTATCATCTAAAATTTCGCCAAGTATTCCGTATATACATAGGCATAATCTATCGTATACGCATATTTTACTAATAGATAAAAGCGTTTCTGGTAATGAAACTTTCGAACGTAAAAACCAAATAAAATTTTGATGTCTTGCAATATTAATGATAGAAAATAGAGTCGTATCAAGGAGTTTTGTTTGATCATTGGATTGTCGTATTGAAACCGATTGATGGATTGGTTTATAATTAATTATACGAATGAGTGCATCGACATATTCGCAGGCTTCTGATTCAGTAGAAAATATAATTCTTCCGTGTAATCTCTTCGCTCCTCCCCACCAGGAGCAACAAGCAAACAAGTGAAGAAGATGTACAATACAAGTAAGCAATTCTTCACTTCACGATCCTATATTATAGGTATGTATAACAATTATATACGCATAATCAGTGCCAAGTTGAAGCATGAGTTCTTGAGGAGAATAAATAAAGTGTTGAGCGTTTGCAAATAAATATGAACTTAAATAAAATGAACATGTTTTTATATAGAATAACATTTTAGCCGTAAATATTGATTGTGACAAGGGTAATTGATGAAGTTGGGTTAAATAGAATTTATATTGATCAGTCATGATATAATGACGTGTAATATAAAGATTGATATCAATGATAATAGGACAAATTTCAAACTCTGGATTATCTTGTAAAATATTTGCGAGATTATCAAACCAAAGACTAACTATACCGATGAATAGATCATTGTCGTCGGTTATTTTTTCGATGTTTTCGAATATAAGATTAATGTCATCAGTAGATTTCGGAAGAAGCAGAGAACCTTTGATATTAGCTTCGACGTCCTCATAATTAAAACTTAAATTCTTATTAAATAATGCAATTGTATGTAATAATTCTACATAATTCGATTTTTGAACCCATTCATAAGTAGGCTGACTGAATAATTGCCATGTCCAATGTTCGAGAATGAGTAGCGATCGATAGAACTGTGAGATAAACGCTGATGATAATAACGAGTTTTGTTTTTCTAAAATAAGTCTTATTTCACAAAGAATCTCATCGCATGATGGAGATGTTTGAAGTGTACTAATCAGTCCTTCGAAGTTATCTTCCATTTTTCATGTTTATCTGACGAACATAGCGGCGTTTTGTTTTTCTAACGGTTGATTAGTTATCCAATCATATATGTTATTTTTATGACCCATACGTGAGTTCCTTGATTTTAATGTGATTTGTCATTTTGTAATCAAACGTTAATAATCACGTGCTAGAAAAAAAAAGAGTTAGAAAACCAATTGGAAGTTCTTCTAGATTGAATGAAGATAATAATAAATTCGGCTGCTACGATGTTAACAAATACTTTTTCTTCCAATTCTGTTACTAATTGATATTCATCTTTGTTTGTGAAGTGCAACTTCGCACTTGTAAAAGTTCTAATTAGAACAAATGTAAAAACTGATATCAGAATAGTGGAGTATGAACACTGCAAAAGTGATTCCTTTTAACGAGCCATTGTTGTTTTCCTAGTTTAGTCTAATTGGGTATACGATACGTTATCTGCTGGAAAAAGTGATGCTTAACCTGGAAAATATGTAAGTCTGAACTATTTCGAGTTACACAAATGTATTGAATTGAAAGAAAATATAACATAAATAAATTGTACCAAAATCAGTTTTCTAAAAGGTACTTTTTGTTAACAAAAATAAATAATCTATAAGTACATCAGTATTCATCATTAAAACAATCGATAAACGGAATGCTTCTCGAATTACTTATGCCAAATATTAGTGTTAAATTGAGTATCAGTGAAGGTAGACATCACAGGCAGATTCTTGAACCATATCATCGTTTTTTCACATTGGCCAGGAAGTAATGATTCAACTCGCTTCACATAAGAACTACTTAGTGGCTAAAACGTAATTATCCTTTATCTGCTGATATTTTATCATCGCATACTATTCACCTCAATGTTTTCATAGAGTATGACATTATAAAATTGCAATACTCGTCGATCAATGACCAAAACAAACAGATCCAATTTGTTTCGCTTGAAAATGAATATTGAATTCTACTGATAGAAATCTTTTCTTATAAAAATAAACGAAGAGATTGTTTCTATTATAATTTCGGTAGGCAAAATACAGATATAACAACGAGTTCAAGGTAAACATTTTCTTTAGATGGAAGTTTCCAAGAAAAATCGTTCATAAGAAGTAAAGTTTTTTCGTGCCCTAGGACGAGAAATTTTATAACAGAAGAACAAAAGCTTTTTCTTTAAAAAGCAGCCAGAACTTTGTAGTGTAAAGCTGAAACTAGCACTAACTGCAATATCATGTTAATATTAGAGGAAAATAGTGATTCGGACAAATAAATTAGGCATGCATAATAAAGGAAAAGTAGTTTAGAACTTTAGAAGAAGACCTTATAATTATTTTAGTAACGTTACCTGTTTTGAGAACACGGTGACCACCTCAGCCGCACCTACACCCTCATCCTCATCCTCACCCACACCATCACCCTCAAGATACACTTCGGACTTAGAGTTTCCCTTTAAGAAAAAGCTTTTGTTTTTCTGTTACAAAATTTTCGACCAATTTTCGTATCGACCAATTATCGGTGATCAATTTTCGTTCGACCAATTTTCGCTCTCCCAGAATTTTCGATCGTTCCTTAATAAAATATTCACGCATCTAATCGCTAGCAGCAATGAAGTGATGGTTCACAGCTGGATAATGATGTTAAGTTAAAATTGATAACGTAAATAATTTTTTTTGTAATAATAACATTCTGAGAAATGTTTTTATCTTAACTTTTGATTAAATAAATTAACATGTTCAAGAAATCTGCTCTCAGAGAATTAAGGTATACCATATGTACCTTAGACAGACTTATTTCTATCACGAATCGTCGCTATTTGAGAGATCTCACAAGTAAATATAATTTTAAAAAAGCCAGTAATTAATAGAGAATGCAACAATTCTAATTTGATGTAAAATTGCTTAATTTCAAACTGAATTTTCTTCTCTAGAAGAAATCAATTTATCTGGAACAAAAGTCTCAATGCATGTTACTGGAACGATAAATATATCTTTGAAATATCAAGTTTAGCGTACTGTTTAATTGATTATTTTCTCATATTTCAATGATGAGCAAACGAATCCAGTTTAAATTGCTTAGATCATATAGAATTATATTTGGTTTTGACTTTTGAAAGACAAAATTCATCAAGGTTTGCTATTGTTAAGTTTCAAATAAACAATGTTGCACTCTGCTAACACTCATTCATCAACTATAGATCTATGCTACGTATATAGCTAACACAGCGTCGCAATCTCGCTTTTCTATTCAGTACTATTATCTATGATGAAAAGACAAAAGAGGATCGAAAATGAGTTACAATCTGCTTTTTATCTTCAACCATTCTATGTTTCACTTTTGAATGTAAATATCAAAGAACACGTCATAAACGAGTTTCATCGTTACCACTTTTTGTTCTTCTACACAGATCAACGTACAAGGTCCATGTCGATGGTGGTGCTGATAAACACATCGTGCAATTCTCTGATAAAAAGAAGTTAACAGGACGATAAAAACGAATTCAAAAAAGAACACAAGAAAAATACAATTTGCCATTCATATTTTACCTTGTACTTTCTGCTGATGTCATTATTTTTGATACTCCAATCTTGTTTTCGATGTCATGCATGTATCTGTATGGGACAGTGAATACAAAGTTTAAAAAGAAGTTTTCATTCAATGTCAAAAGTTAATTTATTATTTGTTCTATGACCTAGAATGAAGATATCATCATTTATTCTATTCCGGACCATTATCATCAGAATAGAGGAGATAAGATTTCACCATATAAAACAATAGAATACCGTCTCGAATTTAATACTTCATTCTTCACACATAATCATGACCGAAGAACTTCACACAATGGCATCATCTCCTTCAAATAGTGAGTCCCACGAATATGTCAGTAACACCACAGCACCTCTTCTAAATGATGAATCACAACATGAAGTTTACAACACAAGTTCCTCGCTTTCAAGTGATGAATCATATCGTGAAGTTTGTAAACCTACATCTTCTCTTCCAAGCGACCAACCAAATAATAAGGCTTATAACACGACACCATCTCCTCCAAATGATGAACAGCACGAAGAGCATATTAACATCTCGTCATCTCCACCAAATGAGGAATCTTACGGAGAGGATACTAACACCACATCACCACTTCCCAATGATGAATCACATCATGAAACTTATAACACAATGCCACCTCCTCCACATGATGAGGTTCACGACGTGGCTAACACTCCAAGATCGTCTCTTTCGAATGATGAATCCAGCGAAGATCCTTTTGACTCCACATCATCTCTTTCAGACGACAAATCACACAATGAGGTTTCTAATACCCAATCAAAACAAGAGCTCACCAACCAATCTGAACAATTGACTCTCACATCTAACCATCGTACCTTTGCACCATTAAATACTCCTTTTTATCGTCGACGACAAACGTTAACTATTCTTGTTTGGTTCACTATGCCATGGATTTGTCTTTACATATCATTCGTTCTTCTTCGTTGTCATAATTGGTATATTGTTGCCAGTTTTATAGCTTATTTAACATGGATGGTCTTTTTTCAAACATTTTCACGACGAGGTGGATTAAAACAACAGTGGCTTCGACGACTTGAATGGTGGACTTGGTTTGCAGGTAATAAAAATGCTTTCCTAATAAAAATGTTCCATCTCCAATGCTTTTATTTATTTAGAGTATTTTCCTATTCATCTACATAAAACATGTGAGCTACCACCAGATCGTCCATATTTATTTGGGTGTCATCCTCATGGAATTATTTCACTTGGTGCATTTTGTAATTTTGCAACCGAAGCAACTGGTTTCGAAGAAAAATTCCCCGGCATAAATCTTCGTCTACTTACATTAAAGGCAAATTTTCGTATACCATTTTATGGTTTATATTTATCGATGCTCGGTATATGTGATGCGTCGAAAGAATCATGCAATTATATATTAGAAAAAAGCGCTGGAAATAGTATAATATTAGTTCTAGGTGGTGCAAAAGAATCATTAGATGCTCGTCCATCGAATGAATATATATTGACGCTAAAGAATCGTAAAGGTTTTGTTAAAATTGGTTTAGCCAATGGTGCAAGTCTTGTTCCAGTGTTTTCGTTTGGTGAAAATGATCTTTTTGACCAAGTACCGAATCCACAAGGCTCCAAGATACGAAAGATACAAATAAAGATACAAAAACGTTTAGGCTATGCAACACCTTTCTTTAGAGGACGTGGAATATTTCAATATGCTGTAGGATTTTTACCGAATCGACATGCTATTGATACCTATGTTGGCGAACCAATTCATTTACCAAGACTAGCACGTGATAAAATTACACCTGAAATCATTGATAAATATCATGGAGAATATATGGAAGCATTAAAGCGTCTATTTGATACATATAAAGGAAAGCATGGCAATGCCGATGCAACAATCAGATACGTTAATGATAATGAATAATACTAGGAAATTATGGATGCAATCGAGCAAAGATTTTCTTTTGACTATGTTTTTTTTATTCTTATATAATATTAGGCACTTGTTATGTTTGTTAGTGGCATAGCCACAGATAATTTTATGTCATAAAATAATTGATGAAAAGTTAACTATTTTAAATTATTCAGATGAAGTATAAAATAACAAGATATGAATGATTTTTATGTTGGAGATGCGACTCTTCTCTTTTTTTCAATCATTTGGTTATTGGATGGGTATGTTTTGAGAAGTACCTACTTTTAAGAAGTGCTCGCATTCCAAAGTTTCAACTTAATTATTTTTAACGTATGATAAAACTTTTGTATCCAATCGATCTGGCCACAAAGCATAGCCATTCGAAAAAAGAGAAAGTACTGTATCAGATAATACGAAATAAAGTGTCAGCAAAAGTATAATCTCAAATAACTGGAAGAAATACTGGAATCCACTACTAACTTTACTTAGGTGTTTTATTATCCTAATATACATTCGTCGTCATTTTGAAAGTTTTCTTGTGAGAGAATACCTGTGTATGATTACGCATCACAATGGTTGATGTGGTCCTGAATATCTCCAAATTTTTAATGTGTTTATAGTAAGTAGGTACTCTGGAGGAAAAACTTCACTATCATGAATGAATCAATACACTGACAACGCTAGGACGTCTTTTTTATTGGTTCCTTGCATTTTCTAAACTTAGGATTGGTTGTCATTTCTTCCACCTATTTATATTTATATTTATTATGTCATCCTGTATGTATCAGTAGCTATCATTTCATTTTCTTTATTTAGTACTGAATATTGGTTCCTTTTTTCTGTGGTGCCCCTATTTTATGCACTTTGTTCATCATTATTTTAGCTTTCGATCGAAAACTGCTGTTATAGGATTTTTCCTACAGCTTGTTAGATTATTTTTCTTTATTTATAGTCAGTTAGAATTATACACTTTATCGATTGATCACTAGGCATATGTATGTTTCGTGAAATTATTTACGCTTACAACTTTGGCAATTAAAAAAGAATGATTCATATTTGACATGATTTAGCAATGTGAGTGACTTTTTCTTTATTGAAGTTATCAAGAGAAGAGAACCAATGTGATCTGTCTGTAAATTAAGTTCATTCAATCTTGCAAAGTTAAAAAAGAAATGAAGAATAACGACAATAGATAGTTATCATTTAGTTATATCAATGCTTGCATTAGTTTTAAATCAAGTATAGAAAACAATTCAATTCAGTTTATCTCCGAGTTAGTCACTTACCTGTTTCCAACGTAAGACACCATCAAGTCGAGTAGACTTTCCTAGGTCTTTATCTACTGTAAATGTTATAAAGAAGAATTTCTTTTGTATTCAAAAAAAACTGTCAATCTGAAGAAATTCTACGACTTTTACTGCAAGAAAAAAGTTCAAATACTAAGCAAACCAAGACTACAAACTTGCTGATCTATAATAGTGATAATCATTGCAAGTTTTAAATGACTGCAATGTTTCAAAAAGTCGATACGTTAAATTCATCTTATACTGTTTTCTAGACGCAAATCTTTGTACTAAGTGTTTCTCACTTGTTGTTCAATCAAAGAACAACATATATGTGTATTGCATAATAACGATTATCTCTTCCACACAGATCACCATACAAGGTCTATGTTGATTTTAGTCGTAGAAACATCGTGTAATTCATCGATAGAGAAGTCATATGAGCAAGACGGGAGTCGCCACTCATATTGTACCTTATATATTCTGTTGATATTATTTCTTTTAATAGTTCATCCTCTAAAAAAGTATCTTCGATATTTCTAGAAATACACATGCATATATGTGTCCGTGAATACAAAGTTTAAAAATAAGTTATCATTTAACTCAAAACGTTATCATCCTATCTGTTCCATGAAATAGTATAAAAGTAACAACATTTACTTTATTTCTAACCACTTTCATCAGAACAGAGAACAGACGTGACAATATCAAACAATAGAATACCGTCTAGAATTTAACATTTCATTCTTTTCACGCACAATTATGACCGAAGAGATTCTCGCACCAACATCTTCTCCGTCAAATGAAGAGCCACGTGATGAGGCTTACACTTCGACATCATCTCTTTCAGACGACAAATCACACAATGAGGTTTCTAATACCCAATCAAAACAAGAGCTCACCAACCAATCTGAACAATTGACTCTCACAACTAATCATCGTACCTTTGCACCATTAAATACTCCTTTGTATCGTCGACGACAAACGTTAACTATTCTTGTTTGGTTCACTGTGCCATGGATTTGTCTTTACATATCATTCGTTCTTCTTCGTTGTCATAATTGGTATATTGTTGCCAGTTTTATAGCTTATTTAACATGGATGGTCTTTTTTCAAACATTTTCACGACGAGG